AAATGCCAGACTATGATCATCTCCAATAAGGGACAATCTAATCAGTGCCCCTTGATAATCAATGGCATTAGAATAGAATCCCTACAGTGTGGAAACAGGCCCTTCGGCCCAACAAGTTGACACCGATCCTTGGAGCGTCCCACCAGACCCATCTCCCTATAACCCACACACCCCTGAACACTGGGCAATTTAGCATGGCCAATCCACCTAGCCTGCACATCTTTGGACTGTGGGAGGAAACCAGAGCACCCAGAGGAAACCCACACAGACAAGGGGAGAATGTGCAAACTCCACACAGACAGTCACCCGAGGCTGAAATTGAACCCGGGTCCCTGGCGCTGTGAGGCTGCAGTGCTACCCACTGAAGAAGGGTCTAGGCCCGAAACGCAGCCTTCCTGCTCCTCTGATGCTGCTTGGCCTGCTGTGTTCATCCAGCTCTACACCTTGTTATCTTGAAAATATATCACTGTTCTTTCACTGTTGCTGCGTCAAAATCCTGGAATTTCCTCTCTAATGGCATTGTGGGTTAGCCCACAGGAGGTGGATTGCAGCAGCTCAAGAAGGCAGCTCACCACCACCTTCTCAATGGCAACTAGAGATGGGGAATCAATGCTGGTCAACCAGCAAAGCCCACAGCCCACGAATGAATTTAAAAATCTTTAGACGAGTAAGATACAACTTGCTAAAATATACAAGAACCTGAGTGATCTTGGCTGAGTTTATGTGGAAAGGATAGTTCCTCCTGAGGGAGATTCAGGAATTCGGGGTCAGTTTTTAAAGAAGGAATCATCCCTTTAAGACAGATGAGGAGAATCTTTTTTCTCCTAAAGGGTCATGAGCTTTGGAGCTCACTTCCTCAAAAAGCAGTGGAAACACATTTTTCAAACTATTTTAAGACAGGGATAGATAGATTATTGATAAGCTGGGGGAGAGATGGGCCAATGATTTTCATTTGTAGATGGAAATGCTGAGCAATATCAGCCATAATCTTACTGACTGGTGGAGAAGCCTCAAGATACTGAGCCTTACTGTTGCTACTGATTCCTATGTCCGTGTGTAGAGGATTAAACTATGCTGACTATGCTGGCGTTTTGCTTAAGCTCCAGCTTTCCAGGTGTTATATTCCTCCCAGAGGATAATGGAGAATTAATAGACTCCGTGCTCTTGTGCTGCTGCACTTGATGTGCCTGTGAGTTTGTGAGGTGATCCACACATCTCAATTTAGTCTGCAAGGAAGGCATAAATAGTCAGTAGCCTTAACAGATTGAAAGAAAACACAAGACAGTTGTAAAATTGCTATATTTTTGTTGAGTGTGAGATTGTGTAGAATGTTGACACTCATGTATCCAAAGTGGCTTCAGTGTTGGTAATCTTTCTTTTCCTGATGTCATCTTGGTAGCTGAGCTTGTCTAAGCCTGCTGACTACTTTACCAGCTTCTTCAGATAACTTTGATGGGTGCCTTCTGGCTGTTTAGTGCCTGTTGGTCCTGTCCTCAGCCTGGCTTGTTGAAGGCATTTGGACCCTGGGCAGAGGGAAAGTGCAGCAGGACACCTCTGCAATGTCCTGAGATGACTCCTGGGTGCCATTTTATTGTTCCTTTTTCCTGTCAGTGAGTAATTGCCTAACCCTAACTCTCATCAGTTGAGTGGATGGGACATTAGGAAGGAGGTCAGTGTCCCTCAGCTACCTGCCACCTCAACAGCAAATGAATCATCCATGGCTAGAGTGAAGGAGTGAAGATCCGTGCAAATCTGCAAGATTCTAATTGTCCTGCTGGGCATAGCTTTCCCTGGCTGTTGCCACCCATTTCACAGAGGCAGCTTGCATGCTGGAGTCAGAACATTGCAGAATCTTCTGTCCTTTGCTGCAGTTTGAACGTGGTCTCTGGCAGATGCCTGATGTTCCCTGCTTGCATATGTATCTCCATCAACTCATTAATGGTCATGTCCAGTGGTTTACCAACTGTACTGGGCTCAGCAGGGGCCTGCGCTCCAACAGTCCTCCAAATAACAGAGGCCTCAGCCTTTTATTTCTCCTCTAACTCCAGGCCTGTATGACTGCTGTGCTGTGACCCTAAGCCAATTCTCGATAGCTCATCGAAGTAAATGGTTCTGTGCTGGTGGAGGGTGGGTGAAAGCTTTGACAGTGCATTTCTCTGAAGCTTGTGACTGTTGTTCCTTAGAGGTATGGTTCAAGGGGCTGTTGGAGATGGGGCTTGGACTGATTTTTTCTGCCCTGGCAAGGGAGTAGGATCTCGATGCCGCATAGAAAAACATAGCGGTTTATTTGTATAACAAGCCACCATCCTTACCCAAGGTTATAGTAAGATGTTGGTGCTTGATATTTAGTTAGTAGCAGCAGGGATTCATTTGTGTGAAAAATTAGAAAATCAATGGTAACGGAGAAGGTAGGATTGCAGGTTCATTATAGGGCTGATTCTCTTCCTTTTATTTTCTGGTAACAATGTGTTAATGTCATATTGCACCAAGGAGCCACAAAAGTGCAGGAAAATATGATAACAGAATAAACTTAAATGCTTTGTATCTTAATTCAAAAAGCATTCTGAATAAGGTACACCAACTGATAGTGTAAATCAAGGTAAATGAATATGATCTCATCATCGTTATAGAAACATGATTACAAGGAGATCAAAACTGGGAACTTAACAGAGAGATATTTAACCTTTTGGAAAGACTGAAGGGATGAGAACGGTGGTGGGGTGCTCTGTTAATAAGAGACGAAATGAAGACAGTTGTGAGAGATGATTTAGGCTTGAATGATGTAGAGTTCGTTTAGGCAAAAGTAAAAAACAACAAGGGAAAGAAGACATTGCTGGGAGTAGTGTACAAACCCCAAACAGTTGTCCTTTTATAGGAAAAACAACAAATCAACAAATGATAGGAGCACATAAAAAGAATAGAACAGTAATTCTGGGTGAATTTAATCTTCATGTCGATTGGGTTAATCAAATTAGGAAGAGTAGCTACAACAACTAATTCATCAAATTCACTAGGGATAGTTTCCTAGAGAAATATGTCATGGACCCAATCAGGGAGCAGGGTGTCTTTGATCTGGTAATGGATAATGAGGGCAGGTTTAATAAAGGGCTTCAGAGTAAAAGATTCCAAGGAAGTAGTGATCATAACGATTGAATTTAATATTCAGTTCTAGAGTGAGAAAGTTGGGTTGGTACTACCTGTGTTTAACTTAATAAAGAGAATTACAATGAAATGAAGATAGACTTATTTAAATAAGGTGGATAGATCAGCAGGAGTGACAGTAGGCAAGAGTGACAGGCATTTAAGGAGGTAATTTGTGACTCTCAGCAAAAGTACATCCCAGTAAGGAAAAAAGATTCTGAGAGGGATAAACCAACCATGGCCAACCAAGGAAGTCAAGGAGAGTATTAAGTTGAAAGAAAAAGCATTTAAGGAGGCAAACGTCCCCAAAGACTGGGATAAAATCATAATCCAGCAAAGGACTACAAAGTTAATTAAGACAGAGGGAATAATAAAACTTGACATTTTATCCGTACGTAATAAGCTGAGAAGAACATCATCATGTGGCAAACCCAACTTGTCCCACACAGAAGTACCTCCTGCTTTTAGGTATGCCTCCACGCTTACTCTTAAAATCAAGATTCTGCTCATGAATTAGATGAATCAAGTAATCTAACATCTTTTGCAATCCAGGCCAATTGCGAGTGTGGGACGTGCGTGCTCTATCAGAGAGGTCAGTTTGATTCTTTCTTCTTTTATTGAGCACAGGATCAGACAGTATCAGGATGGATATATGAAAGGGAATGCACTGCCATTCTATTCACTATCCCCATTCACCAGCATCCCCTGGTTGTGCCAACAAAGCAGGGTGCAACCTTCCCTTTTTGGGCAATGTCCATTTCTTGGCTGTGTCCTTAGTGAGGAAGGCCAAGTACCAGAGTGTGAAGGATTGTTCCTGTCTTGTGGCATCTGAAGTGGTGTGCCGTATGACCGTTGGTAGATCTTGGCAACGGCAAGCATGACTGCCTCTCATGCACTGCAATTCCATGAGAAAGGTGTAGTAGAGCCCGAATGCATAACTAATAAGGTGAAGGGTGGAAGATTATGTGAGAAAAGTCGCTATGATCATGGTTGAACTATGAATCTTACTTGACAAAACATTGAACTCAAAATGGGAAAATTGAACCTAGTATTTTTCCTTAAATGATGAGCATGGGAAGTCTTGAACATCAAACAGACTTGGGTAATCGTATTCATGAGGCCTGAAAGTTACCATATTGGCACAGATTGAGTTGGGATTTTTCACCTCACCCCTTTCTACTCCAAGTAAAAATGTGATCTGTCAAAAATGGGGTGGGATTTAGTGGATGTTTAAAGGAAAATCTGGTGCCATTGAGTTGCATCAAAGGTGTTTAAAACTGATTTAATGCCATCACAGTAAAAAATAAAAGAGTAAGCCCAACCTAACCTCCTCACAAGAAACTGATTTTTCTAGACACATTTTGTCCAGTTTTACTCTCCATTGATGTCAATGGTTAGTATGTCAATCAGCATTCCATCTGATCCAATTGATTTTTGACACACTGAGGTTTGTTACTAGCATTGTACCACATTGATGTATTAATACATTTGTTTGATGTTATGGTAAATTTGCTGTTGTTGTATTCATTGCATAAATATTCTGTCATGTAATAATTCATATTGTATGATTTAATATTATTTGTAGAGCAGGCCCTGAGTACACTGCACTTTAATATTGTGTGCTATTGTTAATTGAAATGATCAATTAATATGTATTGTTCCATTAAATTACGCCTGATAACAGTTTTGGCAGTATCTTTTATGACAGGAATATACTGCTTGGCTCGCGGGAAATGGGAATACTCATTTTCCTGTTGGCAACCATGGAGTTCACATGTTAGTAGTTCTGTATAACCAATGCACAAGGAATAAGTATCGATTTAGAAAAAGCTAGATGTTTTCATATTTCGTCTCTACAGAAAACGGAGAAGGTGGATTTTTCATTTAATCCTATGGCCGACCCAAAATTTATGTTCTATGACCACAGTCTCCTGGAAGCTGTTAAAATTGGTGATCCTGAAGTCCATGAATTTTTTCGTCTGCTTTCACTTTGTCATACAGTGATGCCTGAAGAAAAGCAGAAAGGTAACAAATGTTTCATTCTCGAGCAAGAACAGGTTCACTAATAAGAAAGATGAAAGGAATTGAATTTTACTTTTCCCTTTTGAAAGTTATTCATTGGAACATTTAGTCTTCTCCTTTTAACATTGGAAATAATGCTTGTTACTTAAACAAATAATAAATAAACATGCAGGGACAACTTTACACTATAAAATATTACTTATAGTCCCTTGAGACTGAAGATTACTTTATTCCACTGTGACATTGTGGCTAAACAGTCCAATGTTGGAACTGCACATATTGCCACAAGTGAAGAGGATGGTGTTTGAAGAAACAAGTAGGTGAGGTGCCCAGGTTCTTGCATGCTCTTTTAGCTGTTTGAGTTTAGACTCTGCCTGGGCCTGCCAGAAATATTCAAGGTAGTTGGTGCCTTTGTGGATGCTTCTTCTCTAATTTGTGCAGTCTTGAGCAAAAGATACCATGAAACAGTGGGGATGTTGTGTTTTTTCCTGAAAACATTCATGAGGCTTTGAGAACGTCCTTTTCAGTGTTTTATCTATCCCCCTAGTAACTGCTTGCTGTAACAAAGCTCATTGTAGAGAACTAGTTTTGGAAATCTTATATCAGGCATGTGGATCATGTGGCTCACCCAACGCCTTCATGCTGGGGATGTTGATCTGAGAGAGGACATTGAAATTGGAGCTTTCTTTAAGTTGATTCATGGGATGAGGGCATTGCTGACTAGACCAGCATTTACTGCCCGTCACTAATTGCTCAGCAAGAAATTAACAGTCAACCACATTGCTATGGGTCTGGAGTCATATGTGGGCCAGACCAGTTAAGGTTGGCAGTTTCCTTCCCTAAAAGATACTAGGGAGCCAGATGGGTTTTTTCCGATAATCGGCAGTGGATTCGTGGTCATCATTAGACTCTTAGTTCCAGATATTTATTGAATTCAAATTCCACCATCTGCCATGTTGGGATTCGGACAAGGACAGGACCTGGGACCTGGGTCTCTGGATTAACAGTCCAGTGATAATACCACTAGGCCATTGCTTCCCGTATATATAGTAGTAAAGGTGACGTCACCATAGTCCCAGAGAACCATAGGGCTGCGCTCTCATTAGAGAGAAATGACTGGTAGTGAGTTTGACCTGATGCTTACCACGTCTCAGGTGAAAGGCAAAGTTGAGAAGGCAGGATCTGGAGTTCCTATCCTGCTATTGGAATTGCAGGATTTTGTGGATGCCTGCTATGTATACAGGGAGGTGATGGCCTAATGGTATTGTTACTGGACTGTTAACCCTGAGCCCAGATAATGTTCTGGGGACCCAGGTTTGAATCCCACCATGGCAGGTGGTGGAATTTGAATTCAATAAATATCTGGAATTAAGAATCTAATGATGACAATGAATCCAGTGTCGATTGCCAAGAAAAACCCATCTGGTTCACTGATACCTTTTAGAGAAGGAAACTGCCATCCTTACCTGGTCTAGCCTACTTGTGACTCCAGACCCACAGCAATGACCTCTGGGCAATTAGGGATGGGCAGTAAATGCTGCCTGGCTAGTGACACCCTTATCCCATGAATGAATAAAGAGAAAAAACATAGATTATGCCCAATCATTCATTTCTTTCCATGAGCTTGGTGTTGGACTCAAGGTCTTTGTCATCCAGCATTCTGTTTCCCAGGCAATCAAAGACTGTCTGGAATGACACACATTGAATTGATTCCCAGTGGTGATAGCAGAGCTTGTTCCTGGTCTTACTGTTTGCTGCTGTGACCCTGCTGGCCCTCTTGCCTGTCAAGGATAAAAGTGTTGCAGATGTGGTGAGAACAAATTGGGGAGCAATGGGAAAGAGCAAGACCAAGAACATGGAGTAGTAGTGCTGGTTTTACAGAGACTTACAGAATTGTTACAGTGCAAAAGGAATTCAGTCAGCACATTATGTTTGCATTGGCTCTCTAAAAGAGTATTCCACTTTATGGTATTCTCCTGATTTCTCCCCGAAACGCAGCACATTCTTCCTTTTCACATAAGCATCTACTTCCCAATTAAATACCTGAATTGAACCTTCCAACACTACTGTCCCAGGCAGTGCATTCTAAATATTAGAATATTCTTCAGATTTCCTCTTGGCTTTCTCTTCACCAACTGTCATGTTACATGCTGATGGACCTGGAAATCACTGGGGATCTGGTGTGGTTCCATGGTAGTCGGCTCAACATAATTCTATAGCAGCAAGGTCATGGATGCAGGTGCCATAGGCTTGCCACTGATCATGCGGGTTAAGGTGCCTCTGAAATCAAAAAGCCTGCATCTCCCGAGGGCTTTGCAGGAGCACGCACTATTGTTAAAGCCCTATGTTATTTGAAGGTTGTCCTGCTGGCTTTTTAACAAAGCTCTGTCATTTAAAATTCTAGCATTAAATTCCAGTTGCTCCAACACCAAAGATGTTCTGAACTCCGGGGAGAAATTATCGTCCACCATCACACAAGATCATTTAAAGGTTCGGCTGAGGTTGGAGTTGTCGCATTCCAGCCTCTGCATTCCCTCAAAAATGAAGAATGACATGGTTGATGATTCCTTGCTGCTACTACTTGTTCCTTTCCTTACAGGCAACCTGCTAATTATCCTCCCCTTAGAGACTTAGATCAGTGTTTCAATGAGGGAATGATCCCTGTGCCCCTCAGTTATACATAGTCCTGAAATTCTTCTGGGTTCTAAAGTTCCTGCCTGAATGTCAGGTCACCAAATTTTGACATATAGAACATGTCTCAAGTTAAATCCAGTAACTTTGACTCAGTTTCCTGGAAGTCCAAATGACTTCCTCAGTCAATCAAGGATGCCACATATAAGTTGACAGCTTTCACTGGGCAGGTTTCTAAAGGTATGGGTAATGAGTAGTTCCATTAATTCACATTTAAGTCATTTATAAGTTGGCAGTTAATCATGTCATAGGACCCCTTCTGCCAACAAATGAGTTTTCCACTTTTTGACCTTGCTACACCTGACATCATCACTGATAGCTTACCTGCTGCTGGGAGTGTGGGATGTGGCCTCTCAGTCAAATTTTCGTGTCCGCTCCCCACCCTGCTCTTTTCAGCAAGTACCATGAAATCAAATTTATGGACTGGAGAAAAAAAAAGTTAAAGGCAAGAAGAATGAATAATTCCTAAAAATGCATTGAAGATGATTCTTTTAATCAGTGCCATTCTACTGCAAAGAGGAAGGAAGCAATGCTAGATCTAGTTCTGAACGAAACAGATACAAGAAGAAAATGTTTCCATGAGAGAACATCTGGTAAATAAAGAGCTTTGTATGATTAGTAATTATGGAAAGGAACTAAGAAAAATGATTAAATACCCAACTGGAAGGGAACTAATATCAATGATTTCAGAAGCTCCACCTTGGTTGGACTGGAAATAAAGATCAGGATTTTACATGGAGGTGGTTACTGCAGCCACCAGATAGAAAGTTCAGCCAGCTAGATGCAAGAAGCCATGGCTACCGCCCTTTTCTGGAGATGTGCCACTTCCTAGAACTGTGTGCAGTGGCCTTGTTGGGATTGCAGTGGGTCCTGCACCAATAGAAAGCCTAGACTAAAGGGAAGTGGTGCTGGGGAAAATGGGGTGAGGAAAGCAATTGAGGACCTAGAAGGGATGCTTTAAGTGAGTCAGCCCTTACCACTGGGGGCAGTCCACTGGCCCATCTGGTGGCTCCGCAGCCCATGCCATGTCCCATGGGACAGAAATAGATATTGGGAATTCTATCATAAAGATAAGAGATGTAAGTTTCTCCTTGCTGCTAAGATACCGTTTGAGTGGGAAGAGATCCTTTAGTGGCCAAGAGTAAGCCCCACCATTCTTTCCATTCCATTCCAATATCACGCAATTACTCAATATTATTAACATGTATGTGAAGCAGTTGGACTGCAGCTGTTAAAGAATGCAACTCATCACCACCTTCTCAAGGGAAGCTAGGGACATTCGATAAGTGCTGACCAGCCAGTGACACCCATGTCCCAATTGGCGAATTCTTTTGATGTGAATTATGTTGATAAAGGTTACTGTGTGAACAAAGAAAGGCGGAAGTCAGGAATAGACGGTTTTCCAAAGGTAGCAGTGAAATATTAGAAAGAGAAGCCATTGCTAGATAAGCTTTAATAGTGAAACTTAGTGAGGGTCGAGGCGACAGCCTTGGGGAGAGGCGACAGACTGGTCATATTATTGCTGAGCCGTTAATCCAGAGACCCAGGCAATGTTCTGGGGATCCAGGTTCGAATCCCACCAAGGCAGACAGTGGAATTTAAATTCATTAAAAATCTGTATTTAAGGGTCCAATGATGACCGTGAAACCATTGTCAATTGTTGGAAAAACTCATCTGTTTCGCTAGTGCCCTTTAGGGAAGGAAATCTGTCATCCTTACCTGGTCTGGCCTACATGTGACTCCAGAACCACTGCGGTATGGTTGACTCTTGTCTGTCCTCTGGGCAATTAGGGATGGGCAATAAATGCTGGCCTAGCCAGCGACGCCCTCATTCCATGAATGAATATATATAAAAAATGATCCACAGCAATATTTTGATCAATCAAAGGCATCTAGCATTTTTAAAATTTAAACAAAAACCTGATGCATGACTTCTCTGGTATGTTATCCACAGTGACATCTCAACCAGTGTCCATTTGCTAACCAAACAGCGTTCTTTTTTCGTGTAATATAATTTTTTGTTCTCTTTGAAATTTGGTGTTCTTGCATCTGTTGTGATGAGTGCAAGGCAAAAAGCTTCAACAGTGTGCCTCTTTTTAATGATATTTAAATTCTATACTATCATGCAACTAATTTGTTTTCACCTTATATAAAGTGTAGGAAATAAGGTGAAGTCCCTAGTATGTATTTTTGAACTAAACATATTAAATGTATAGGGAGTTATTTAAGGGTAAGTCATGGCAGAGCAGCTTAGCCATGTGGAACATTCTTCCTACGTGATGTGCAAAGTCAAGGAAACCTCCAGTGTCTGGAGTGACCACATGTGCAAGCCGTGTCTCCAGCATAGCTATTTAAAATCCATGTTTCAGATCTGGAGTTGCTGTGGAGTCTCCTGACAGTTATGTCTTTGTGGAGTATATACCATTAGATGGTCATACCACAGATAATGAGTGCACATGTACAAAGAGAAAGTATGACCACCAAACAGAGTAAAAACACTAATCAGGTAGTGCAGTCACCCCTAGATCCATCTCCCTGATAAATAGATTTTCCATTTTAGATAGTACTAGGAGATGGTTTCCCAGGGGAATGCAGTGAAAGCCAAATCTGTTGGACCATGCAGCTGAATAGAGTGAGGAAAAAAAAGAGTGGGAGAGCAATAGCTATTGGGAATTTTATCATAAGGAGAACAAATATAAGTTTATGTGGCTACAGATATGATAGTAGGATAGTATATTGTCTCCCTGCTGCCAGAGTCAAAGATGTCACTGAGTATCTGCATGCAGACTGTGAAGGGGAAGCATGAACAGGCAGAAGTCTGGTCCATGTAAGTTCTAACAAGTTACGTAAGAGTATTATGGACAAGACCAAACCCCCCTCAAATATATCAAGAGATGGCCTAGAACCTAACTTTCATCTCACTTAAAGGCAAGTGTAAGGTGTTGTGTTCCAGACATAATTCAGTTGGTTACACGGCTTGGCTTTAAGCAAAATACGCTTTATTCTTATCCTATAGTTAAAATACAAACAAAAGGAAGAAGAACTGGTATAACTTTAGCTCTACTGGAAAACTTGAGAGAGTAATAGATTATTAACTTCTAAACAACAATTGTTCCAATGTAGTAACATCCCATAAACTCCTCCATGACAAAGGAAAATTCAGTAGGTTGTCTCACATTCAATGTTTCTCCAGACTAAAAAGAAAGAACATCAAGAGAAAATTCTGGCAGGGAGAGAGAGAACTCAAGCATTTTGCTGTACCAGGGAGAGATGTATGGCAGCTTCAAAAGCCCAACAACTACTGAAAGCTGAATCAAAATCCTGATTTTGTGCAAGCCTGACTCCACTGATTCATGCTGCTTCTATTCTTTGAAAAAACCCCAAGGCCCACATGCTGTTTACATTATTAGCATGGAACAGACTGATCGGTACATCTGTCTCAACCTTGCTTCATTTAAAAAAAGGACAAAATACACCTCTTACAGCTATCGCATTGTCACGAGAGGGATCGAGCCCTTCAGGCAGAATAGAGAAAGTTAGGAAATAAAATAAAAAAGAGAAAAATACACCTCTTGAAACTATAGTGTTGTCACAAGAGAGGGATGAAGCCCACAGGCAGAATATAGAAAGTTAGGAAATAAAATAAAATTTCAGGATTATGTCCAATGCCACATGCCAATGAGTTCATGAATAGGAAAATTACTTGATTGCATGACTAGAAAGATGATGTGGGTGGGAGACATTTAGATTTCTGAGGCATTGGGGCTGATTCTGGGGAACATGGGACCTGTACAAGCTGAACAGGCTTCATCCCAGGAGAATGAGGACCAATATCTTGGCAGAGAATTTAGGGGCATTTGTTAGTAGTGTGCGAGAAAAGACTAAGGAAAATAAAGATAGAAATGAAAGGTCGAAAAGTAGAAAACAGAAGTGGAGGCAAAGGAAACAAAGATTGGTAACGTGTAGGGCTATTGTATAAAAAATTAACGTTTAAAAAAGTTAAAAAGACAAATGTAAAGTTACAGTATCTGAATACATGTAGCATTAGCAGGGCTAGTAATTGGAAACAGGTATAACGTGACTGCGATTACAGAGTTATGGCAGCAAGGTGACTAAAGCTAGAAATCAACATCCAAGGGTATTCAATCTTTAGGAAGAATGGGCTTCAAGAAAAATTAGATGGAGTGATATTGTTAGTAAAAGACAACGTCAGCGTGATAGTGACAAAGGATATTGGGCCAGCAAACTAATCAGTGAAAATCAATGGTAATGTCACTGGACTAGTGATCCAAACTTACGATGAGGGACATGAATTCAAATCGCACTATGACAGATGGTGAAATTTGAATTCATTAAAAATCTGGAATGAAAAGCTAGCCTAATACCATGTAACTGTTGATTGTTGTAAAAACCGGTCTGGTTCACTAATAACTTCTTTGAAGGAAATCTGCATACCTTACCTGGCCTGACTTACAGGTGACTCTAGGCCCAAAGCAATGTGGCTCTTACCTCTGGGAAATAAAGAATGGTCAATAATCTGGACAATACTGAAAATCGATTCAAAGATTATCTGCCACGTTTGCAGTGTAATGCACTTGCACATGCTAGAGCTTTAATGTACTGGACCTGTTTTATGTTGGCAAAACAAATTTCTACATAAATTGAGCAAAACAGAGACAATCTTTTACTGCATTCCTATGGCAATACCTTGACCAATCAACATCTACCTACCTAGTTTGAGAACTAAGATTGATACTTACTTGTTCCTGCTGCATTGCCGTTCCAGCAATGCCCCAATCAATGAGCACCATCTTCTAGTGCTGTATAAATTGTGGTCCCTTTTTTCAAGTATGTTTCTTGCACTCTAGTCCTGATGAGTATGCTGGGGAGGTGATGGCTTAGTGGGTATTATTGCTGGACTGTTAATCCAGAGACCCAGATAATACTCTGGGGATCTGGGTTTGAATCCCAGTATGGCAGATGGTGGAATTTGAATTCAATAAAAATATCTGGAATTAAGAGTTTAATGATGACTATGAAACCATTGTTGATTGTCCGGAAAAGCCCATCTGGTTCAATAATGTCTTTTAGGGAAGGAAACTGCCGTCCTTACTTGATCTGGCCTAAATGTGACTCCAGACCCACAGCGATGTGGTTGACTGCCACTGGCATCTGCAATATCCTGACCATCTCAGATTAATCTCTCCACTTACCTCATGTTAACAAAATCTCAGATTTATTGTATGATAACTGGCAGAATGCGCTAATGTAATCACAAATTAACATTTTAATGAAATGCTATCTGTTTAATCACTTATAAAATCTGCTGTAGCTTTGTTAGAAGCAAATTATATTAACATTGATCTCTATTCAATTATTTAAACCATGAATAATCAGCTTTAACTCTTTGGTATTAGAACTAACTGCAGTTTTCTCTGATGTATATCACTTTATAACATTCTTCTTTTTTCTAAAGGTGCCCTAATGTATCAGGCTCAGTCTCCAGATGAAGGTGCACTTGTCACTGCAGCAAGAAATTTTGGCTTTGTTTTCTTGTCCCGTACTCCTGAGACAATAACTCTAGTTGAAATGGGTAAAACTGTAGTCTATCAATTGCTTTCTATTCTGGACTTTGATAATGTGAGGAAAAGAATGTCTGTCATAGGTGAGCTTGTTATTTTTAAAATAAATATAAATCATTTTACCCTCCATTGAGATTATGAGTAATGTGCAATATTCATTTATTTAGCTCTTGGTTTATTTCATTGTTTTAGTTCGGCATCCTGATGAGAAACTGTATTTGTACTGTAAGGGGGCTGACACCATTGTGTTTGAGAGACTTAATTCTGCATCTCAGCATTTAAGAGACATAACCACTACACATCTCGATGTAAGTGAACATATAATTAAAATCAGTAATAGTAATATGCAGTTATACTCTGTTTAGATTATTTTGATTTGTTAATATAAGATTGCATCAATTGTTGGTCTTATTTGGTGAATGATGACTTTATCATGTGGAGACACATTAGGCATGTGGAGCAAAGGAATGCTGTACATATGTGTAATGGCAACAACAGGATGGGGAAATTGGTGGAGATCAAAAGCAGCACAAGGTAAAACAATACAATTTTGTATACGGCACACTGACAAAAGGGTGGAATGCAATGCTTCCTGAAGATGAATACGTTGCCCCTGGAAATCCCTGTCTCCACTGTGTGTCCCATTTTGCCAATGCTGACATTCTTCTGGTCTGCGACCTGGCTATTACCATTGCCCACTCCTCCTTTACCATGATATTCTGCAGAATGGGTGGTCCTTTCCCATTTTTATGGTATTATGTGTCTCTTTCTCCTGCAAGGACAGGAGAAAGTGCATGGTAAGGCATTTTTTTATGAGGATGCATGTGTTGATACTGACATGTGAACAGTAACACCATGCTCTGAATCGTTCTCAGCAGTCAGTATCTCTGGCGCATTGTCTACTCAATGAATACCCAGTACTCAATCCTAGGGTTGTGGACTGTACTCATCTTGCCAGAGTTTTTGAAATCATTGAGCAGTTGTCTGGCTTACAGGATAGTTTGGTACCATGTAGCCACAGAATACCAGGTGCAAAATGATATTGTTCTATTCTTCAGGCCTTGTAGATTTAAAAAAAACTGGATTATTTTGTCAACAAGATGCAGGGCTGGATGAACACAGCAGGCCAAGCAGCATCATAGGAGCAGAAAGGCTGACGTTTCGGGCCTAGACCCTTCATCAGAAAAAGGGGAGGGGAAGGGGGTTCTGAAATAAATAGGGAGAGAGTGGGACGCGGATAGAAGATGGATAGAGGAGAGGATAGGTGGAGAGGAAACAAGCAGGTCGAAGGGGCGGGGATGAGGCCGGTAAAGGTGAGTGTGGGTGGGGAGTTAGGGAGGGGATAGGTCAGTCCAGGGAGGACGGACAGGTCAAGGGGGCGGGATGAGGTTAGTCGGTAGGAGATGGAGGTGCGGCTTGAGGTGGGAGGAGGGGATAGGTGGGAGGAAGAACAGGTTAGGGAGGCAGGGACGAGCTGGACTGGTTTTGGGATGCGGTAGGGGGAGGGGAGATTTTGAAGCTTGTGAAAACCCTAAAAAGAAGAACCTCCATGCTTACTTCTTCAACTGTGAACCTAACCCTAAAAAGAAGACTCATATTCCGCTTGGGAACCCTGCAGCCCAATGGTATCAATGTGGATTTCACAAGCTTCAAAATCTCCCCTCCCCCTACCGCATCCCAAAACCAGTCCAGCTCGTCCCCGCCTCCCTAACCTGTTCTTCCTCCCACCTATCCCCTCCTCCCACCTCATGCCGCACCTCCATCTCCTACCGACTAACCTCATCCCGCCCCCTTGACCTGTCCGTCCTCCCTGGACTGACCTATCCCCTCCCTAACTCCTCATCCACACTCACCTTTACCAGCCCCATCCCCGCCTCTTCGACCTGTTTGTTTCCTCTCCACCTATCCTCTCCTCTATCCATCTTCTATCCGCCTCCCACTCTCCCTATTTATTTCAGAACCCCCTTCCCCTCCTCCTTTTCTGATGAAGGGTCTAGGCCCGAAACATCAGCCTTTCTGCTCCTATGATGCTGCTTGGCCTGCTGTGTTCATCCAGCCCTGCACCTTGTTGTCTCGGATTCTCCAGCATCTGCAGTTCCTACTATCTCTGGATTATTTTGTCAGTGTTTTTCTATATATAATAACCAGTCATTCTCAGCTAAAGCCTACTTTCAATTATAGGAATTTGCAGGTGATGGTTTACGCACATTAGCCTTGGCATATAAAGAATTAAATGAAATATATTTTACAAACTGGCAACAACGGTACCAGGAAGCAAGTACTGCATTAGAAAACCGTGAAGAACAACTGTCTGAATTGTATGAAGAAATTGAAAAAGACTTAACGGTAAACTACTTTATATTATCTATATCCACAGTATCTTGTGGCTTTATTCTCTCAGTAAATATCTGGATCTTATATCTTGTCACCTTTAAAAACAAAAGTCACTGGCTGGTTGCCGTCTGGTCCAGGATCCAGGCTTACCTGACTGATATACCCATGGTTCTCTCTAAAGGTTGCCTGTGCAATTTTTGGCTAAGTATGGCTGTCCATCTTTTGCACGGCACTCAAGTGCTTGGTCCTCAGCAGTCCTCTGAGTGCCAGAAACTTCAGGCATTTCCTCCTCCAGACAAGCCAGTGACGTCCTCAAAGGTAATGCCTCATCTCATTTCACCGGCGTCCCCAACCAAGTGACTGTCCCTGTGCTGGTCAGGGGTTTGCCTGTGTATCCTCTGAGGGCTCACAGGCTTCCTTCTCAGAGGCATTGCTAGCACAGAAGGCTCAAGCTGATTTGGGCCTTGTGCTGCATGCCACTTGAACCTTCAGAAGAAAAAAGGAAATAGTAGAGTAGACCAATGAATTTGCTGTGGTGTTTATACAGAGTGCATGGCTGCTGACCATGGGAATGGTCCTGATCTTCCCTATCCAATTCTGTGGGCCTATACTCGGCAAGATGTGGCCGTTGTTGCGTGGTAACATCTACTTGGAACCACAGTTGAGAGCTGAATGATTATGATGTCTACTACAGGATGAGCCACTCCAAAGAGTTTAATGCATCTACCTGTGTGAAGTGTTATTCTTCCTTACATCTTTCATACCCCTAAGCTCACAACTAAACAATAGAGAGCAGAAATTGGTATCCATTGTGCCCATTTTTAACATTCCAATACTGATTTGGAACTTTTAACATCAGGCCCATTCAATGGTGCACCTGGGCTTTAGACTCCTTGCATTTATTCAATAGCAGCCTAATGCCTGCTTAAGGAGTTCTGTATGAAATTTGTTCTTGATGAGTGGAACAAGGTATTTTCATTAGCTTGTGCAGAAACTGCCAGAGTGCAGCATCTCACAGCATGTACTTTTATACTTCCTTTCCTGCATCCCTCAGTTCAAAAAAAACTTGAATTGTAACTTGCTTGAAATGTAAGCTTGTAACAGCATAAAATTGCCACTGGGCAATTGGGATCTTTGTAAATTATAGGAGCACAGCATTTCTCCTTCACCAGTGTGATTTAAAGATGGAAGTAGGGAAACTGAGCAGAAATAACTATATAAAAATATAAAATAAATATTTGGAATAAAAAGCTGAAGATGACCGCATAATTATTGTAACAAAATACAGTTCAAACAGTTCAAATGACAAATTAGCAAAACACTGTGTCAATATTGACCTTCAAGCACAGCAATAGAACATAGAATGTAACAGTACAGCACAGAAATAGGCTCTTTGGCCCATCTTGTCTGTGCCAACCATGATGCCATCTAATCTAATCACATCTGCCTGCACATGGTACATATCCCTCTATTCCCTGCTTGTTCATGTGTCTGTCCAAATGTCTTTTAAACATTGCTGTTGTATCTGTTTCTACCACCTCTCTGGCACTGCATTTCAGACACCTACCACCATCCATGTAAAAAGAACTTGCGTCACTCATCTCCTTTAAACTCTTTCCCTGTCACTTTATATCTATGGCCAATTATATGAGACAGATTTAGGAAAAATTATTTTCCAAAATGTTTCCAGCAGATTTTCTTTTTGCAGTTATTAGGTGCTACAGCAGTTGAAGATAAACTCCAAGATGGTGTTCCACAGACAATTGCAACACTTTCAAAAGCAAATATCAAGATTTGGGTCCTTACAGGTGACAAACAAGGTATATGCATTTTATGATTTGCTACTGAAAGAAAGAAATAGCTAGTATTTCAAAAGTATTTTGATTTCTGATGATCTCATATTTTCTTATGGTTGTCATGACTCCATGGGATAGTTCACTGGATTCCAAGCCCACTCTTTGCAGAGAGCAAGTTGTCACAAAAGTGAAGATTGAATTAAAGTACTAAAAATCCTCATTTACCTTTGACTGATTGCGACCCAGGATAAAAGCAAACCACACCATATAGTAACAGTGAAAGAAAATTCTGTTTATTGTTTCACTTATCCTAAACTAGAACAGTAAGTAATAATTTGTGCTTTTGGTTTTTAGAATTATAGGCTGAATTTTACCAGCCACAGACTAATTGTCAATTTTGTTGAGTTTCATTGAGTCTTTCTCTCCCTGCGGCACTGCGAAATTTCTCACTCTACTTTTCAAAATTCCCCTCATTTCTGTGCACCACAGCCCATAGCTTCCCACTGATTGTATCATGCTGTTGCCACAGGTGGAAGTACTCACCAATGCCATGACCTCCCAGGATTCCTATTGCCAACACCATATTTAAAGCCTAGCTGTGCATCCAATCCAGTGATGCAAGACAAGAATTGCCCTTCACAGTGGATATAGGGAGAAGGTTGGGAAATGGCAGCAGTTGAAATGTTTATTCAGAGAGTCAGTGCAGATGTGATGAGCCAAATGGCCTCTTTTTGCACTGTAACAATTCTGTGAACTAGAGTCAGTGAGACAAGAAGGATGTTGCTCATTCAAAGGGTTTAAATGAGTGTGGCGGGGGTGGGAAATGAACAGTACGTAGCAGATGTATTGAGGAGAAGGTCAAAGTTTAAGTCAAACAGATCTGATAGGTAGAGCAGGCAGGGCCAGGTTAATTAACATGACGGGACTGGCGGTCTGAAGTGCATTTACTTTAATGCAAAGAGTATAACAGGTAAAGCAGATGAACTCGGAGCCTGAACTACAATGTGGTAGCCATTAATAGAAAGGCAGGACAGGCACCTCAAAATTCCAGAGTTTAGATGTTTCAGGTATGATAGAGAGGGACATAAAAGGGGTGGAGGAGTTGCATTACTGATTAAGGAGAATGTCACAACTGTACTGAGAGGGGGCATCTTGGAGGGCTCATCCAGCAAAGCCATATGGGTAGGACCTAAGAATAAGGGATGTCCAGTCACTATGATAGGCCTCCCAAAAGCCAGTGGGAGATAGAGGAACAGATATGTAAGCAGATCAAGGATTGATGTAAAAACATTTCTAAAGAAGGGTCTCGAAGCGAAACGTCAGCCTTCCTGCTCCTCTGATGCTGCTTGGCTTGCTGTGTTCATCCAGCTCTACACCTTGTTATCTAGGGTTGTTGTAGTGAGTGATTTAACTTCCCCTGTGTTGACTGACACTTCCTTAGCGCCATGACTTAGACGGGCAGAATTTGTCAGGTACATCCAGGAGTGTTTCTTGAAACAATGTGGAGATAGTACAACTAGGGCAGGGACTGTACTACACCTTTTAATGAGGAATGAGCCTGGCCAGGTGATTGAAGTTTCAGTAATGGAGCACTTGGGAATAGTGATCATAAATTCTGTAAGCTTTAATAAAGTTATGGGTAAGGATAAGTTTGGTGAAAATACCAAAATGGGAGAAGGCTAATTACAACAGTATTAGGTAGGAACTGGAGAAATTAGATTGGGGGCAGCTGTTTGAGAGTAAATCCGCATCCAACATGGGAATTGTTTAAAGGGCAGCTGATCAGAGTTCAGAGACCAGCATTTACCTGCGAGGATGAAAGATATGGGTGGCAAGAATCACAAGAAATATAGAAAGTTTAGCTCACAAGAGAAAAGAAGTATATGTAAAGTTTAGGTAACTGAAATCAAACAAGGCCCTTAAGGAATATAAGGGAAGCAGAAAAGAATGTAAGAAATTAGGAAGGCTAGATGGGACCACAAAACATCCTTGGCAAGTAAGATTGAAAATCCCAAGCCATTTTCCGCATATATTAGGACCAAAAGGGTAACTAGAGAAAGGGTTTATTCACTCAAGGAGAAAGGAGGGAATTTATGGATGGAGCCAGAAGAACTGGGTGAGGTAGTTAATGAGTACTTTGCATCGATATTCACTAAGGAGAAGGACATGGATAATGGCAAAATTAGAGAGGGACATGTCGATATTAAGAAGGAGGAGGTGTTGGGTTTCTTGAAAAATATTAAATTGAGAAGTCCCCAGCGCCTGATGAGATTTATCCGATGATACTGAAGGAGGTAAGGGAGGAGATTGCTGGGGCCTTGACAGAGATCTTTGTACCCACTTTAGCTACGGGTGAGGTCCCAGAAGACTGGAGAATATAGCCAATGTTGTTCCTTTGTTTAAGAAGGGCAACAAGGATAATCCAGGAAATTATAGACCAGTGAGCCTTACATCAGTGATATGGAAATGATTGGAGAACATTCTTAGGGATAGGATTTACTCATGTCTGGAAAAGAATAGACTTATTAGGGATAGTCAGCATGGCTTTATGTGAGAAGCGTCTTGGCACTCAAACTTGTTTGAGTTTTTTGAGGAAATGATGAAGTTGATTGATGAGGGTAGGGCAGTGGATGTTGTCTACATGGACTTTACACAAGCATTTGAAAAGTTCCTCATGTCAGGTTGATCCAGGAGATTAAGTCGCATGGAATCCATGGAAAGTTGGCAAATTGAATACAAAATTGCCTTGGTCATAAGAGATGGTAGGTAGTTGTGGATGCTTGTTTTTCTGGCTGGAGGTCTATAACCAGTGGTGTTCCACAAGGATGAGTGCTGGGACCTCTGTTGTTTGTAAAATGTATAAATTACTTAGATAAAACTGTAGGTGAACAAGAAAAATCAAAGTAAAAATGGAAAGAACTGCGGATGCTGTAAATCAGGAACAAAAACAAAGTTGCTGGAAAAGCGCAGCAGGTCTGGCAGCATCGGTGAAGGAAAAAACAGAGTTAACGTTTCGGGTCCGGTGAACCTTCCCCTGAGGAAGGGTCTCTGGACCCGAAACGTTAACTCTGTTTTTCCCTTCACCAATGCTGCTGGACCTGCTAAGCTTTTCCAAGAAAAAAACAAAGAACTACAGATGCTGGAAATCAGAAACAAAATCAGAAATTTGAAAAACACAGCAGGTCTGCCAACATCTATGGAGGGAAAGGAGAGTTAATGTTTCAAGTTACCCTTCTTTAGAGCTAACTGTAGCTCTGAAAAGTTGGGATATATACTAGAGGAGGGCTGGTGGGAGGGGGTAAGAGTAACTGATAGGTGGAAATGGAGCCCAGAGAGAAAGAAAAACTGTTGGGCAGACAAAGAAATGGATAAAAGTCAGCCTGAGAGAATGAATAGCTGCTAATGGGAATAGTTAGAATGAATAGCTGCTAATGGGAATAGTTAGTGGGTGACAGTGAGTTGTTTGTGGCAGCAGTACATGTGATGACAAGGTCGGGTGTGTGGAAATTGAGGTAAAGAGATTGAAGAAGCTGCTCAGGCCCTAAAATTATTGAACTTGATATTGAGTCCAGAAGTTGCAGGGCTGCCAAACAGAAAATGAGGTGTTGTTCTTCCCGCTTGCACTGACCTTCGCTGGAATACTGTAGCAAGCACAAGACAGGGCGGCGCAGTGGCTCAGTGGTTAGCACTGCTGCTTCACAGCGCCACGTACAGCCTCGGGCGACTGTCTGTGTGGAGTTTGCACATTCTCCCCATGTCTGCGTGGCTTTCCTCTGGGTGCTCCGGTTTCCTCCCACAGTCCAAAGATGTGTAGGTTAGGTGGATTGGCCATGCTAAATTGCCCATAGTGCCCAGGGATGTTTAGGTTAGGTGGGTTAGACATGGGAAATCAGGGGTAGGATAACGGGTCTGGGTGGGATGCTCTTCGGAGGGGCAGTGTGGGCTGAATGGCCTCTTTCCACACTGTAGGGATTCTATGATTCCATGAAGACGGAGATGTTGGCCAAGGAACATGATGGTATGTTGAAATGGCAGGCAACCGGAAGTTCAAGGTCATTTTTGTAGACAGAACATAGGTGTTTTGTGAAGCAGTTGCCGAGTATGCACTTCGTCCCACCAATGTAGAGGAGACCACACTGTGAGCAGCAAATGCAGTAAACTGGATTGAGCGAAGTATGAGTAAATCGCTCTTTCACCTGGAAGGTATATTTGGGACCTTGGATAATTAGGAAGGAAGAAGTAAATGGGCAGGTGTTATACCTTCTGCAATGGCATGGGAAGGCGCTGCGGGGCGGTGGGGGCAAAATGTTGAGGATGGAGGAGGAATGGACCAATGTGTCGGGATGTGAATGGTCCATATGGAAGGCAGACAAGAGAAGGGAGGAGAATATGTGTCTAGCATCTTGCTGGAGATGGTGAAAATAGTGGCTAGTGATCCTTTAGATATGGATGCTGATGGGATGGTAGTTGAGGACGAGTAGACCCTATCGCTGTGTGGGAGGGAAGAGAGAGGGTGACAGCTGAAGTGTGGGTGATAGATCAGACCAGCAGAGGGTTCTGTCAACCATGGTGGTGGGGAAACCTTGTTTGAGGAAGAAAGTGGACGTTATGGATGCTCCCTTGTTGAAGTTGGCATTATCAGAACAGATGTGGTGGAGACGGAGGATCTGGGAAAATGGAATGGAGTCTTTACAAGAAGCAGGGTTTGAGGATGTACAATTGAGGTAACTGTGGGGGTCGGTGGGTTTGTAGTGGATGTTGGTGGCCACCTTATCCCCAGAAATGGAAATAGAGATGTCAAGGAAGGGAAACAAGGAACCAGAGGTGGACCAGGTGAAGGTGAGAGGTGTAAATCAGAAGTGAAATTGATGCAATTTTCCAATTCTGGATGATGGAGGGGAGCAGCACCAATGATGTCACTAATATACCAGATTAGGTGTTATGGGTGGGGGCCAGAGTAGGATTGGAAGAAGGAATGTTCCATGTAGCCCATGACGAGACTGGCATAGCTGGAGCCCCAGCAG